TCCTGTTCATGTTGTGTACCATGTCCATGTTGGCAGGGGGTCCCAGGTGTTGTAGTTCAACAAATAACTCTTCCAACTTTTGGTTTAAGTTTAGTCTTAAAGGTAAAAGTAAAGGTAGTCCCTTGGCATGAATGCCTAGTCGTAACTGACTGTAGGGGGCAATGCTCATCTCTGTTACTAAGCTAAAGAGCCAGCATTGTCTGAGGACTACTACGTTGGTCATGTGGCCAGCATGACTGCACCAAATGCTGTTACCTTCCCACTTAAGTGATACCTATTTATCTACTTGCATTTGCATGCTTTCGAACTGCTAGGTTGTCAGAAGCTGGGACTAGTGACAGGAACTCACCCCATCATGTAGCACCCGGGCCTTGAACTGCCAACCTTCTGATTTTCTGAATTGGCATCTCAATCACTAACCCACCACATCCCTAACTTTAGTCTTAGCAGATAATTAAACACAATGTCATCCAGTTATAAGATCAAAGGATGTAATTTTGGATGGCCAGGGGGGAACTGGAGGTGAGGGATGCTAAGCTTTCTTCCAGATGGACGTGTACCTCCTAGCATCTCAAAGAAAAGTATGATGGGGAAGGGAGTGTTGGCACTGGAAGAAGGTAAGAAACAAATGTATGGGGCAAATTGTCCTGTGGTTTCCATTCCCTCTGATCTATATAAATCAGGACCTATCTATCTGGTCAAAGTTAAAAATGATGATGTCGTAGGCTTTCATGGCTGGCATCCATAGTTTTTTGTGGGTTTTTCAGGCTGTGTGGTCATGTTCTAGAAGAGTTTCTTTCTGACGTTTCGCCAGCATCTGTGGCTGGCATCTTCAGAGAAAAAAATGCCAGCCACAGATGCTGGCAAAACGTCAGAAAGAAACTCTTCTAGAACATGGCCAAACAGCCCGAAAACCCCACAAAAAACTAAAAATGATGATCTTGCTACATTTAGGACTAGCTGGGCCTTTGACACATATCTGAATTTGTAAGCAGCTCCAAATATCATGGCCTAAATCTAATTGCTGCTCCTAACTAGAGTAAACTTGTTGAATCAACTGAACATACACAAGTGTTGATTTAATAAGTTCCCATTGATTCAGGGGTCTACTCTAACTGAAACTAGCAGCTAGATTTAGGCCATTAGTTGCTGTTACAGTTACTTTTCATGTAATGCATGCATGCATGGCAACACCATAATGTTCTACCAAAAATCTATTTATATCTTTCCCAGTGGTGTCTACATACATCAGTGTTTTAAGAGTCAGCATGGTGTAATCATGGCTTGAGTCTTGGACTATGACTCTGGAGATCAGGGTTTGATTCTCTGCTAGACCATGGAAACCCATCTTGAGCGAGTCATATACTCTTGCCCCCAGAAAACCCCATGATACATTCACCTTAGGATCGCCATAAGCCAGACATGACTTGAAGGCACACAACAGCAAAAAAGTATGTATTTAATGATGTTTTAACTAATATCCCCAATCCCTGGTGTCACAGGATTACTATGAGGGAGAATGGGCTTTGGCATTGACCACATACTGGAAAAACAGGGATCTTTAAATCCATGTGAAATTAAATTTCTCAGAATGGCTAGGAAAGAATTAGAAATGTTTCTGGGAAGTGAGATTTTGGTGAGGATGGCTCATCCTTTCTCCCAACCCCAGGTGCGGCTCCTATGAAGAGTGGCATATTCCCATTTGGTTAGGTGAAAAGGGAGCATCATATATTTTACCGCTCTCTGGAAATAAAGGAAACAAATCTGAGAATGTCAAGATCATTTCTTAAATCACATCTGGTTTGGAGGAGGTTCTGAAAGGGAAAGAACCATTCAGAGTAGCTATTCAGGCACCCCAAGAGGGTTCCTGTGCCTTGGAGAGTAGAATAACAGATAGAAGGATGCATGATAGGACCTCCTCAGTGGCTGCGGCTGAATGGCCCTCTCCTGCTGTCTTTCTGTCAATGGGCAAAAACCTTTTTAAAATTTCAATAGGATTTTGAGAACTGAAAGTTTCTAAAGGAAGATCTTGTAAGAGCATGCTAAACTGTTTCCACTTTACTGCTTTTTAAGCTCCCTAAACATTTTAATTGTATGTTTTAAACCAAGGGTAGGCAACCTCTCCCCTTTAAGGGCCGAGGGACTTCAGCTCCCAGAATCCCAGGAGCTATTGGCCAATGTGGGACTATTGGCCAACATGGCTGAGGCTTCTGGGAGCTGAAGTCCCTCGGCCCTTAAAGGGGACAGGTTGCCTACCCCTGTTACTGTTTTTAGTATTGTTAATAGTTTAATTCTAGGTTAATGTTGACCTTTTGTATTCTTAACTATATTGTACTTGTTTTAATTTGTATGCTGCCATGAGTCTCAGTTTTGGGGAAGAGTGGGATATAAATAATGATAATGGGAAGGAAGAGGAAGAGGAAGAGGAAGAGGGAGAGGAGGAGATGATGATGATGATGAGTAGCAATACAGCTTGATTCTCCCTAATCAGGAATTCTGAAATCTGAAATATTCCAAAATTCAAAATGGTTCACGTGGGTGGCTGGGCAATAGTTGGCATCTAAAGGAGATTATCATTGGACCAAAATGCCCAAGAAGGTTTTTATCAAGGCATGAGAGGGGGATGGAGTGAGGCCACACAAATACTCAGCCTCAGCCTCCTCCCCTCCACTGTGGCCAATGGCTTCCATGTCAGGGGTGTGATGAATCCAGAGTAGATTTATATTTTATTTATTTATTTATTAGTTACCGTATTTTATTTTTATGCTGCCTTTTTCCCATAAAGGGATCCAGGGTGGCTCACAAGATAAAAGCACTTTAATTTTTTTTTTAAAAAAAATCATTTCATATTTTAATGGAGCTATGTGGGATTCTGAACACTATCCACGAAACTCATATAGCACCTTAGATAGGTCCTTTAAAGCGGTACTTCTTAGGGCCTTTGCAGACTGCCAGAAATTGAGTCCACTTTAACTGTCCTGGCTCAGTGCTAGGGAATCATGGAAACTGTAGTTTATTGTGGCACCAGAGCTCTCTGACAGAGAAAGCTCATTGTCTCAGAAAAAACTACAGTTCCCATTATTCCCTAGCACTGAGCCAGGGCAGTTAAAGTGGCCACAAGTTGCATTATTTCTGGCAGTCTGTAAAGGCCCTTAGTCTCTGATGTGGGGGACCAGCAAGCTTTATTTCCACACTGTGCCAGGGACTAGCACCATATCTGTGCCCATTGACTACAGCTATTTCTTTCTTTTCTAGAAATTCACTGCTGACCAGCAGACAATAAGTCATGTGGCACCGGTTCGTGGACCACTGCTTTGAGCAGCATTAATTTGACGTCTTAAGTCAAAGTAGATTTTAATTCATCCCCTATATGGAAGCCACTGGCCTCTGGCCTCATTGCTACCTACTAGGTACAGGAGAAAGAGGAGACTGCAATAACTGTGAGTGTTCTTGGATATTCCTCCTTGGGGTTTGTAGAAAAGCCCTTTCTGTACAGCAGTGGCTGTTGGTTCTGCTCCATTCATTCAGTCTATGATTCAGTCTACAAGGCAAAAATCCTCATTAGCCTCCCTGTTGAATCACTATCTCTGAATGTAGGGTTTTTTCTTGTGGTATGCTGTGATCAGAGAGCCAAGGTGGTGTAATAGTTTAAGTGCTGGACTACAACAATGGAGTTGTTGTTGTTAATTGTCTTCAAGTCATGGTGACCCTATGTATGAGAGACCTCCAAGTCACCCTTTCCTCAACCTCTCTGCTCTGCTCTTGCAGATTCATGGCTGTGGCTTTTCTGATTGAGTCTATCCATCTGGAATACGGTCTTCCTCTTTTTCTATTGCTCTCTGCCTTAACAAGCATTATTGTCTTTTCCTTTCTTCTCATGAGATGACCAAAATATGACAACCTCAGTTTAGTCTCTGGAGACCAGGGTTCAAATCCCCACTCAGCCATGGAAACCCACTGGGTGGCCTAGGGCATGTTACACTTTCTCAGCCTCAGAAGAAGAAAATGGCAAACCCATTTTGAACAAAGTTGTCAAGAAAACCCTGCAATAGGTTTGCCTTATGGTAACCGTAAGTCAGAAACGACTTGAAGGCATACAACAACAATATTGTGATCAGATGCTTAATTGCACCATAGCATAATTATTATTGATTTTTTAAAATGATTTTGATTATTATTTTTCTCCCACTGATGTCAATGAGAAGGAATTTTCTTACATCAAGTATGGGAATGTTATAAATTTGTGGCATCAATGGGACCATGGCCATGGATCAAAGGGGTCTAGATCAGTGGTTCTCAACCTTTCTAATGCCGTGACCCCGCAATACAGTTCCTCATGTTGTGGTGACCCCAAACTCTGCCTCCTAGGCTTCTGTCCTCCGGCGCTTGCTGCGTCCGCCCGCTGATGACGTCAGCAAGCGCTGGACACACGTAATGGTCTGCTATGGACTGTGGAGCGTCCCCCCGCTTCCCATAGGATGACCTTATGCAAGTCACACTCTCTCAGCCTCAGAGAATGGCAAAGGCAAACCTCCTTTGAACAAATGCCAGGAAAACCCCATTATAGGGTTGCCATAAACCAGAAATGACTTGAAGGCACACAACAATAACAACAACAACCATTTAAGATTTCCTCCTATTTAATTTTTGTAAATCCAAAGATGCCTTTGAGACTAATACTTTTGAGAGGGAGTAAAAGCCAGTGTGGCATAGTGGTTTGAGTTTTGGGACTATAACTCTAAAAATCAAGAGTTCTAACCCTTATTCCAGCATAAAAACCCATGGGAAGGGGGGGGGGAAGACCTTGGTCAAGTCACACTCTCTCAGCCTCAAAGTATGGCCATGGCAACCCCCCCCGAAATGACAGGTTCCCCTTACGGTCACATCTGCTAGAAACAACAGTTTACAATTTAAGAAGGCTCACGCCAACAAAAGAATTTAAGACCCCCTCCTTTATTTATTTAACTTTAATCCAAAAACACCTTTGAAAGGGAGTGAGAGCCAGTGTGGCCTAGTGGTTTGAGCACTGAACTATGACCCTGTGGAGGCCAGGGTTCAAATCCCTGGTCTAGCAATACAAACCCACACTCAGGTCACACTCCCTCAGCCTCAGAGGATGGCCATGGCCAAAAAAACAAAACACCTTCTGAAGAAAACCTCATCCTAGCTTCCCTTCAGGGTCACCATAAGTCAAAAACAACTTGGAGCCACACACACACCAACAAGAACAACACTTTCACCTGAGCATACCTAAAAACTCCTTCCACAAAACCTGAACACGTGACTCACTCACTCACTCTCCTCTTCCTCCATTTCTTAACATCCTGAGGTCGGTGTGTGTGTGTGTGTGTGTGTGTGTGTGTGTGTGTCCCCTACGGCAACCTAATTGGCCCAAAACTTCCCAGGCGGTGCAACACAATGCGAAGAAGCAAGGTGCCTCATTCTTTTTCAATCTTCCCCCTCTCCGTCCTTCTTTCCCCCCCCTCCCCCCTCCCTCCTCACACCCCATTTTTGCATGCCGCTCCAGGATTGGCGGGCGCCTAATGCTCAGAGTTGTAAGGCGGCTGCGGATTGGCGAAGGCGCGGCCGCGTGCCCCTGGCTCCCTACTCTTTGTATACACAAAAAGAAGCCACTCTCCTCTCTCACTCCTTCAGGGGAGCTCCCTTTAACAATGGCGGCAGAGGGAGGGAGCCGGCGGTGATGGCGGAGCGGAGGCGTCAGGAGGCTCCGCCTCTGGCCCCTGAAGGACCCCGAGGCACTGGGAATTCCCTCCTCAGCAGCATGATGCGCGACTTCTCAGTGGCTAAAGCCATCAGAAATATGTATTTTCCGATGGCTTTAGGCGACCCCTGTGTTTTGGTCGTTCGATCCCCGCCGGGGTCGCGACCCACAGGTTGAGAACCGCTGATCTAGATGGTGGCATAAATATGTTTCTTGTATCACACCCATGGCTCTGTCCTGTTTCAGCCATTCTATAAGATTATCCTCACTGACAGAAGAGCTCCACTAATAAGTCTGAGATATTACATTAGTAAATACCCTAAAGGTACCAGATCCTGATCTTGGAAGCTAAGCAGGGTAAGGCCTAGTTAGTACTTGGATGAGAGACTGCCAATGAATACCAGGTGTCGTAGGCTATACAGTGGGGCCTTATTATCCACAGGCTTGCCATCCACAGATTTAAGCATTTGTAGATGGCAAGCCCTGTTCCCAATGGTGGCATGTGCACATGGCCGCTAGTGTGGCCATACACATCGCACTACCATTAGGGACAATGGGACTTGAGTCCCATGTTTTTTGGTATCGGTAGGTGGGGGTAGGTGGGCCCAGAACAGATCCCCATGGATACCAAGGTCTGGCTGTATTTCAGAGGAGGAAACTGGCAAGACCTGTAACTGGCAAAATCTGAGTATTCCTTGCCTAAGAAAATCCTATGAAATGTACAGGTCACTCACTATACAACAGGTATGCACACAACCATAGCTGTCATGGTGGTAGCATATTTAATCTTCTGACCTCTACCAAATCCACAACTGTGTCAAGTCCAGCAGGTTCACTAGGTTCAGAAACTCAGGCTTCAGTAGTTAAAACTCAGAAAACCTTTATTCAGTAATTATAGATCCATTCCAGAGGCATTCACCGTCAGAACTAAACAGCAAATGTTAACATTGCCCAATTAAACTGTGCACAATTTCAAAATCATGGTGGGCTCATTTCTCATTCGTTATAATTAATATACACATTTGCCTCTCTCCTTCTCATAATGCCCCTTCTTTGTTGTTATGCCTAGATACTTTTTACAGAAACAACCTTGAACAGGCTTGACACATGCCTGCCTCCTCTCCAGCACTGGCCTCAAATAGACAGCCACTGTCGGAGCATTCTGGGAGTGGGGCGTGCACATGACGCATGCCCCTGGATCACGCAGAGGCTGAATGGGGGCCACACTGGGGCCACTGAATGTGACCCATTGAGGACCGTGGTGTCTGGTTGCCGCAGTCCCATCATGGTCCCAGGAGGATTGGGGTGAGAGTGGCCTTTAGCCCCGTCTGCTTGAGCCCAGTATCTCACCACCTGTGTTTGAGATCACCCTGCAATATCTATTTCTACTATATAACCCATCACACCAACTTCCCAATATTTTATGACAGGAAAGGTGCATTTATTACTCCTGAAAAACTGATGAATTGGGTGCCCTTAGAACAAGGAAGGGAATCCTGCAGTCCTCCAGTTATATTGGACTGCAACTTCAAGCAGCTCTAGCCAACATAGTCAATGCTGAGAAATGCTGGGAGCTGCAGTCCAACAACATCTGGAGGGCTGCATGATTCCTATTCTTGCGTTATAGGCTGATATTTTACTGATGTTGTTAATTTCATTGAAAATGTTGACCAGAGATTAAACTGGATTAGCAACCGCTACCATCACATCATCTGCATACTGTACAATTATCCCTTCCATTTTATTAATTAATTAATTGTAAGCCTCTGTTATGATATCATTTGAAACTATATTTGGTGACAGATGTTTACAAAAACAGTGAGATTATAATGGGGAAAGTGAATAATATGTTTTATTCCTCCTTGATGGCTTAACTGTTTTGGAATATAATTCATTTAATTCATTCATATAATTCATTCAAAAGAACTGTGTGTTTGTCATCGTAATGTTTTAAAACTTTCTCTGCTTTATTAAAAGCTCAAGCTTCTTTTTTAAAAATACTATTTCTTTCTAAGTCTGTTTCTCTACATTTCTAGCAATTATAGCTAGTCAGAGGTAGCTGTAAATAAGACATAAAATAGAATTAGATGGCCATCTGGCAGAGATGTTATAGGTGTGGGTTTCTTGCATGCAGAGAAGGTTAAAGTAGATCATCCTTGGGGTTCCCTTGAGCTCTACAATTCTATGATTCTAGGCTTCCATGTAAAGATGTTGCACATCATGATGTTGCTGAGGGCACAGTTTATCCTTCTCTATCCGAAGAAAAAAATCAGTCCAGAAATGGGACTTTAATCTTGAGTTGTTATGAAAGGCAGTTGAAGTTTAAATCACCTTCAGTCATTTCTGGCCTTTGTTGTATTATTCCATCTTTGTGTGATGATGGGGAAACCAAACAGAAGCTAGGCAATTGCCAGGAACCCTGAAACCCATAATGATTTGGTTAAAAATACATTTGGAATGAGATTTGTTGGTGTTACATGCCTTCAAGTTGACTCTGACTTATGGTGACCCTATCATAGGATTTTTTTGACAAACTTTATTCAGGGGAGGTTTGCCAGTCACCTAGTTTGTTTCCAATGGCTGAGCAGGGATTCATATCCTGGCCTCCCAGAGTCTTGCCCAATACTCACCCATTACAATACATTGGCTTTGTGTTCCAAGACCATGTCTGAATTCAGACTGAAATTAATCCATTCATATCTCCCAAACAGATCTTCAGGTATGCTGCCACCACTGTCTCAAGCAATACCCCCAAAGGGACATTTGCAATGTAATATTATACAGCTAAGGTTGTGCCAGGCATGTCATTCCATGAACAGAAAAGCTCTTTCTGTTCATGGATGGGACTCTGATTCATTGTATGGAGGGGGATTTTTATTGCTTCTCCAGTAAGCAGTACCCCTCTGTGCCCAGAAATAGTTACTTAATTGAAAGTGGTCTTGGGAGCTGGATGGGGGAGGAAGAATTGGTTGCAATTGTCTCCTCCACTTCCTGGAACAGACTGGATCAAGCGTTGATCAGAACAGAGACTTCAGTCAAGGGATAAGACGAAGACTAGGAATGGGAAGGGCAGCAATGAAAAAACTAGACAAGATCATAAAGAGCAAAGATATACAATTGAGCACTAAAGTTAGAATCATCCAAGCCATGGTATTCCCCATCACTATGTATGGATGTGAGAGCTGGACAATGAAAACAGGGAATAAAAAACTCATTTGAGATGTGGTGCTTCAGAAGAATGCTGAGGATACTGTTCATAGCCAAAAAGACAAACAAATGGGTCTTTGAACAGATCAAGCCTGAAAGATGATCAAATTGAGGCTGTCATACTTTGACCATACCATGAGAAGGCATGATTCATTAGAAAAGACAATAATGCTAGGAAAGGTTGAGGGTAGTAGAAAGAGAGGAAGACCACACAGCAGATGGCTAGACTCAATTAGGGAACGAATCTATAAGAATTAAACAGAGCAGTGGAGGACAGGGAGTATTGGAGATTTCTTATCCACACGGTTGCCATGAATTGAGGTTGACTCGAGGGCAGTTAACAACAGCAAGAGTCTTGCTGTCCTTTATCACCGCCTGAGGCATCTAGGAACTGGCTCCAACACCTTAATCAAGTAGACACTTCAGTCTAAATCCAGAGACAATCCAGCACCCTACTGATATGGAAGTAACCAACTATCAGTTCATGTAGAGTTTCTGCATGCTGACTGCAACAGGCTTGCTGCTTTGGAGACAGCTGATTTAATTCATATGACAGCTATTGTATACACCTCAAAGACCCCTGGCAAAGCTTTTGTACTGCTTATATTTTTCTTCTTTTGTTATAATGGAAAACACTGTTCCTATTAGGGTCTCACTAATGACCTTGATGATTTTGAATCAATCAACACATTGGGAGAGGAAAGGTTAAAATAGTAAGATGGAGCAATTGGGTGAACTTGCTGCATGAAAAAAAAAAAAGGTCTTCTGTAAGGTTAACTGAAGTAGACATCAATTTAGCTATCTTGATGCTCATCACAGCTGGAGATCCACCACCTACTTCTGCTACATCTTCAGGTCTTCCTAAATACAGCTCCTGCTGTCCCTTCCTTCAACTCTAATTCACTATAGGTTTAGTTTCCCTTATCTGAAATGTTTGGGACGAGTGGCATTTTGGATTTTGGGGGTATCGGTATTGGTATTGAATCTACATAATGTGATATCTTGGAAATGGGACTCAAGAGATGCACCATGCTACAGGTTGAACCTCCCTTATTTGAAATGCTTGGTACCAGAAGTGTGTTGGATTTCAGATTTTGGAATGCCTGTATTTATTTATGTATATGATTGATAATGAGAGCCAGCGT